ATGGAACGTCACTACCCGCGCGTGTTCAGACGTGGAGTTGAACTTCGGCAGGCACGTAGTAAACGGAACCTTTTATCGGCCCTACTAGTACTACTACAACTGTTACTACTATCGCTGCTGGCACTACAGGTTCTCCTTGTAGTAGCCGTCAACGTTATCAATGCCATCATCGACATCTTCGTCACTACTGGATGTGTTCGAAGACCCGCCCGAAGGCATTGTTTCAGGATGTCTCGAGTGAAACGCTTCCTTTAGAACAGCAGTATTGTAAAACTATTGGTGTTTCAATGATCTTGCCTCATGGACCATCCTGGGGTCCTCCAAGAGAGCTCCCAACTGATGTCATACAACAGCTCTTTCAACATCTTATGGTTTGAGGATTTCTCATGCGAGAGCTCCATGCCTGAGGATCCTGAGATGTCGCTACCGATTTCGACATTCCGATGCTTTGAGGATGCCTCCGGCGAAATCACTATGTTAAGCATAACACGTTTAAAACGATAGCTTCCAACATCTCCACTCTGTGAGGATGTCTCAGGCGCAATCGCCATCCTGGGGACTCAACATCGGCATCAGCGTCAGCACCCTCATCATCACTATCATCATCGTCATCGTCATCATCATCATCATCATCATCATCATCATCATCATCATCATCATCATCATCATCACCACCATCATCATCATCATAATCATCATCACCACCCACATCACCATCCACATCACCGTCAGCATCCGCATCATCATCACCATTACCATCACCATCATCATCAACATCCTCATCATCATCATCGTCATCTTCGGCATCATCGTCATGAACAGGTGGGTGTTCGAAGACACGTCCGAAGGAATTTGTTGGGGGTGTCTCCAGCGAGAAGCTTACAATTCAACAAACTATTGTTTAAACAACAAACACATTGTGTCTTGCAACGATTTCACGTCTTGGGCCATGTTTTTTGCAGAATCCCGTGCAACCCTGGCGCGTAAAGGTCAGCTGGCGGTGCGCCTCTACCCTTAGGTCGGGCGTGTCCCCCTGCAGGCGGATTTTGGGTGAAAAATTACAAGTGCGTAACAAATGCCCCAGTTATATGATGAAAAAACAATCCAAAAATCGTCCCCATATTATTCCCTACCTAGGCTCTGCCTAGAAGGGTTCTTACTGTGTATGCTTCGAGGGGCCGGGCAGTGGTCCTCACCCCGGGCGGTTCCCCCAGCATCCGCCCCGCCGTTCCCCCGGTTGCGCCCCCTGGGTTCACCCAGCTTAGCTTAGCTAAACTTAGCTTTGCTTAGCTTAGCATATCTCGTCTTAGCTTAGCTTAGCTTAGCTTAGCTTAGCTTTGCCTAGCCTAGCTTAGCTTAGCTTAGCTTAGCTTTAGCTTAGCGTTAGTTTAGTTTTAGCTTAGCTTTAGCTTAGCGTTAGCTTAGCTTTAGCTTAGCTTTAGCTTAGATGTAGCTTAGTTTTAGCTTAGCTTTAGCTTAGCTTTAGCTTAGTTTTAGCTTAGCTTTAGCTTAGCTTTAGCTTAGCTTTAGCCTAGCTTTAGCTCAGTTTTAGCTTAGCTTTAGCTTAGCTGTAGCTTAGCTTTAGCTTAGCTTTAGCTTAGCTGTAGCTTAGTTTTAGCTTAGCTTTAGCTTAGCTGTAGCTTAGCTTTAGCTTAGCATCACTGTTACTACTGATGCTGCTTTCCTAGGGGCTCCAACTCCTAGGCAGGGTCGCACTGGGATAATTTTTTGACTAGTTTGGAACATTCCTCCTGTGCAGGGGCAGGCCCGACTTAACCCTACCCGCCTCCCGAGAGGAACACCAGAGCATGAAACACCAGCACAGCAGCTGCCCACGCTCCGCTCGGGCGGCCCGACGACGGGCGACGGGCGGCCCGGAGACGGCACGAGGGGCGGAGCACCACATGCAACAGCAGTACAGTCGGGGCCTTGACCTGAGGAACCCAAAATAAGGAACGGGGCCCCTATTTTCCATAAGTTAAACTTCGATCTCGTATCGGAAACATGAGGAAACCCTGAGGCAAGCTGTGAAACAGTCAAGGGACACGGAGCCCCTCCCCAACAGAAAGGGTTCCTTCTTCAGCGCCCCGACTGTAGTGGCGAACGCTTGGCCAACCGACCCAGACCCCCGACGTCATGATTTTTTCATGACGCGACCCCCAGAGGTCCCGACCCATTCCCCGGGACCGGTTTTTCGTTCCGAGTCGTTTTTTGACGGTCCCGAGGCCCGGCGAGGGCCCCCGGAGGCCGAAACTAGCGAAAAACCTCCCGTCGTGATCTTTTCACGACGCGAGGAGGTCTGGGGAGGCAACATCTCGCAGCCTCCTGGGCTCAACTGCCGGCGCTGCCGTCGGCGAACTCGTCGTCGGCGGTGGCGGCGTCGTCGCGCCGACTGCCAGTGACGCGGGCGTCGCGGGCGTCGGGGTCCTGAGGCGACGCCCCGACACGACGGAGGACCTCGTTGATATAGAGCATGGATGATGGGCTTGTTTTCCACCACCACCACCATAAGTGAGAGGGGGGAAGGAGTAGGAGGAGGAGGAGGAGGAGGAGGAGGAGGAGGAGGAGGAGGACCACCTCCCCCTCCAACTTATGGTGGTGGTGGTGGAAAACAGGCTCATCAATGGAGGGGTACCAGCTGGGGTGGTAGCCGTCGTTCGCGAACAAGTCGGGCACGTGGTCGTCGGCCAGCCTCTTCACGATGGCATGGTAATCGACGATCTCGTACTTGCCGAACAGCCTCCCCTCCGTCGTGGACGAGGTGATGCAGTCGTACAGCATCTCGACCTCGCGGGAAGTGAACTTCGCGAAGAAGCCTCCAAGCTTGCTGTCTGTCACCGTCGGGGCAGTCCGGAAGGCGATGCGGCTGGTCGGAAACGTGCCCTGCACGAGCTCCAGCAGGCCAGGCAGGTCGTGCTGGCGCCACTGCTCCACACGCTCGCTGGACACCTCCCTCCCACTGCAGATGCATGCGCTTCCGCCGCAACGCTCGCTGCACATGTCGGTACCGCACGGCCAGGTCATGCCTCCGCACACTGGCTGCTTCCACGCGGCCAGGTCCCACAAAGAACTTTCTACCACCACCAGGTCGGGACTTCCGTGGAGCATGTCCCGCGCCGTCCCATTCAAATGATGTTCCAGCATGTCGCGGGTCGGCACATCTATCGATTTTCCTAGCAACGGTTTGAAGAATGGCTTCTGGAGATCTCCGTTGTACCCAACGCCGGGATGAAACAAGGAACCCATCCTAACGTTGAGGGTTGTGTCATAGCACCAGCGGCCCTGCAAGAACTCTGCGCTCTGCATCTTCTCCCCACAGAAATATCCGATTGCGTTCCGGTCCAACGAACTGCCGAATAACAAAACACGCGCGGGGTCTCCCCCCACTGGTGACGGAGGCCCCCCACCCGCTCGTGCCAAAGGGTGGTCGTGCAGAGCAGACGCGCCCGCAATGCAGGAAAATAAAAGCCGAGACATCGAAAACAAATTTGTTCTGGGTATCCAATAGAGGCGGGCAGTCATGAGCCCTTGAGCCAAAATGGCTACGGATTCGCGTCTTGGGCCATATTGGAAGTCACCCAAAAGTATCAGAAACAACATGTCTCAAAGCAGCTCTCTGCGCATCCCATTGTTTCCAGGATGTCTCAGGCAACAGATTTCAAGATCTCCATATTTCAAGGATGTCTGCAGCGAAAGCTTCATGTTTACACAAACGTCTCAAAATAGATCCCGCAGCATCTCCATGTTGTAAGGATGTCTCAAGCGGAATGCCCATTCTCCAGAACCTTTCCTGCCATGAACGGGGAGCGCGTGAAATCGAAGAGCATGGCAAGAGCATGCACCAGCGGTGAGATCAACTGTAGCATAGGCGTTCTTCCCGAACGTCCACAGGAGGTACGAGGTGGAGCTCACTACCCGCGCAAGTTCTCACGTGGCGCTGAACTGGGGAACAAAAATAAACTTGCCATTTCAAGGTGAGCGTGAAACTTCCAACACCTCGCAACAAAACTTGCAACACCATCGACATCAACTGCACCGTCGGCGCACCCCCAAAAGTTAACGATGAGCAAATGCAGAGATCTCTACCCGCGCCAGGTCAAACGGTGCGCTGAACTTACGCGGGTGGTGAACTGATCCCAATACTGCTTCTAATCCTCCTGCTGCAACTCGTACTCCTCCGCCTCGGCGCCCTTGCCTCCGCCTCATCGCTTTCGTCGCCGGCCCCATTCGCCGACAACAGGGGCAGTTCACTACCCGCGCAAGTTCAGGAAACAACATCATATTGCCTGTCAAAAATCATGCTGTTGAGGATGTCTCGAGCAAAACGCTTGCCTTTGAAGAGTAACAGTGAAAAAACCCAAGGGGGTTCAACGATTTTGCGTATTGAGCCGCCTAGGGGAGGTCGCGTTTCCACGTTGAGGGGCAACGTGGAATTAACGTTGCAAAAATTAGCGTGGAGATCTTCCACGACAGCGAATGAACGTGTCGACGTACCCCACGAGACGCTGAACGTGGAACTTCCACGCGAGCGCCGGTCCGTTCCGTGTTGACACACGTGGGGGGCTTCACGTGGAGACCCCACACTGAGGACGCCGCCAGGACTGCGGCGCGTCGTGCTTAAGGAGGCCTGTGGTAAGAGATTTTCACCTCCCTCTGGTCGTTAGCACCGTCCATCGCGCAACTCTTCGAGCCTCAGCGCGCTTCCCGTGATCCGCCACCCTGACTCCAGATCCGCCCTACTTTGGTTTTTTTCCCAACTTAAAATTGCGTCGGAAATCCACCTATAAGGGGCCGAAAAGTTAGGGCGGAGATTTCTGCACCCAACAGAAAGTGGGGCGGAAATCCACAGAAGCAGGGCGGAAACAGCAACAGAAAAGTAGGGCGGAAATTGGCATCAGCGGGGCTTGAAAAGTAAGGCGGAAATTCCAAGCCCTACTTACGAATTTTCCCAAAGTAGGGCGGATCCGAAGTCAGGGCAGGCCTCAGCCACAGAGCGATCCCGGGCCATTCCCCCACTGGGCCCCCCCAATTGAAAAAAACAAAATACACCGGAGAGGAACCCCAATCGGTGGATGGCTTTCGCCGGGAACCCGGGAGCCCAGGAACCCAAGACCCACCGCGAACTCGGCCCGGAACCAACAACCGGGAATCCGGGAACCTGGAACCGGGAACCCGGGAACCCAACCTGCCACCAAAATCGGCGGGAAACTTTCGCCAGATCTTTCAACTTCCGTTAGGACCCCTTCAGTGCAAGCACTGATTGGGGAAATATGCTTACCCTCCCTGGTCGCTGCCAACGTCCGTCTCGCGACTCTTCGAGTCTGCGCGCGCTTCCCGTAATCCGCCAGGTGCGGATGGAGGAGTGGCAGCGAGCCATCCCCCCTCTGCGCTCCCCCAGTTGATAGATATATCTGACTACCTACCAGACCACCCCAACCCCACCCGAAGACCCAAAGTTCGGGTTGGGCGGGGTTCCATGTGATTTTGCAGTGTTCCCCGACCCCCCCCCCGCTGGAACTGGAGGGCAACTTGAGGCCTTCGGGTTGGGTTGGGGTGGTTTGGTGGGTGGTGACTATCTCCCCCCTCCGGGTCGCTATCAAGACTCATCGCGCGACCCTTCGAATCCGAACGCGCTTCCCGTACTCCGCCACCGTGCCCCCCAGCACGCTGAGGCGTGGAATGCCGCCATGGTGTGTCTGGCAGGGCCTTCGGCCCCGCCTGATCCCGAGGCCTTGCCTCCTCCCCGCCTCGCTCTGAGGCTGCGCTCTCCCCCCTTCCCCCCCCTCCATGTCAATTCAAGCTTCGCGCGGCCCGCTTAGCTTCGACCGGAAGAGATGCGCTCTCGACCCGCGAATCAAAAAAGTGTGTCTGGCAGCTGGCGGCGCGCAGAAGGGGGTGGGGGGAGGGGGGAGGGCTTCTTAGAAGCAGGCTGCTTCTTAGAAGGCGCCGGCCTTAGATCTACAGATAAGGCTCGCGCCTTCTAAGAAGCAGGGGTGCTTCTCATAGGGAGCCCACAAAGGACGTACGCGCCCAGCTATGTACATGAACACGGCCCCTCGATCCGCGAGACCGGCCGCGTTATACGAACATTTGCGCAATGCGTACTCTCGAAACCAGCGTGGATTCATGTACGTGTACGTCCTTTTGTCGCTCCTGATCTAAGAAGCCCTCCCCCCTCCCCCCACCCCCCTCTGCGGCTGGCTGAGGCAGGGCTTCTGACTTCTGGTCCAGGCCCGCCCCTCCCTCTGCTCGCGGACTGTTGGCGTGCCTCCTTGAAGGGGCCCCAGGACACACAAATAAATACACACAAATAAAAATACTCCCCATATTTTCCCATATTTTCTGGGTTTCTGTCTCCCCCCCCCGATTCCCATATTTTCCCATATTTTCTGGGGAATCGAGGATTAGTTGTGTCTGTGTGTTGTTTCCTCTCCTGACTCCTCCCCGCCCCCCGAGGCCCCTGCCCCCGTGCCCGCTCGAGGAGGGTGCACTTCCGGCAGGGCAGCGAGTGCCGGAGCCCTCCTTCCACGCGTGCCCGCTCGGGGATGGCACACTTCCCGCATACACCCTGCGAAATGCTTAAGAAATCATGGGTTAAGAAATTTATAGTCTCAGAAGTTGAATAAAAACCCAAAACTTTTCTATTCAAATCTTAGGATTTACATTGAAACATTAAGAATAAACGAGACTCTGGCCGAAAACTTAGGTTTTCTTAAGCATCGCCTAAGGTGTACAGCAGCGAATGCCTGAGCCACCCTTGCGTGCTGCCCGCTCGGGGACGGTGCACTTCCCACGCGGCAGCACGTGCCGGAGCTCCCCCTGAACGCGTGCCCGCTCGAGGCTGGCGCACCTCCCGCATGGCGGCTGCTGTCCGAACCCTCATTCCATGCGCACCCGCTCCTGGATGACGCACTTCTCGTGTGGCTTCTGCCTCCTAGACACCTCATCCCACGCGCATCTGCTCGAGGATCGTGCACTTCCCGCATTCCCGGGCGCTGCTCTCAAGCGCTTCAAAGCCTCCCAAGCCACGATCCGGCCTTAAAACCGGTACATATCACGAAGACTCCACAATGGCCCAAGAGGCATCCAAGACGGCCCCAAGACGGCCCAAGACGGCCTCCCAGGGGACTTGAGACGGCCTTAGAAGACCCTTGGACGGCACAAGATGGCGCTAAGACGGCCCCACGGCGGCCCCCAAACATCCACCATACGGCCAAGAGGGCCCCAAAACGGCCCAAGACAATCCCACGCTGGAGTTAGATGGCCCCAGGACGGCCCAAGAGGGCCGCAAGGGACCCCCAAGACTGCCTCGCAGGAGGCCAAGACAGCCCCAAGATGGCCCAAACGAGGCTTCAACATCATCAACACTAACAACACCATCATCATCATCATCATCATCATCATCACCATCATCATCACCACCACCACCACCACCACCACCATCATCATCATCATCATCATCATCATCATCATCATCATCATCATCATCATCATCATCATCAACATCATCATCATCATCGTCGTCGTCATCGTCATCGTCATCGTCATCAGCATCAGCATCAGCATCATCACCACCACCATTATCATCATCGTCATCATCATCATCACCATCCCCATCACCACCACCATCACCATCACTACCAACATCACCACCATCACCATCACCATCACTGTCACCATCCGTCGCCATCACCATCACCATCATCATCATCATCAGCATCATCATCACCGTCATCATCCTCACCCATAACCATCAGCGTCATCAGCACCATTCTCATCATCATCATCATCATCATCATCATCATCATCATCATCATCATCATCGGAATCGTCGTCATTCTTGGTGTCATCATCATCATCATCGTATTGTCATTATCATCATCATGACAATCTTCTGCTTCTTCATCATCATCATGATCATCGCCTTCAGCACCAGCACCATCGATCATCGATCGTCATCCCCACCACCACCATCACCATCAACATCATCACCATCTCCATCACCATCACCGTCACCATCACCACCATCATCACCACCATCGTCATCATCACTATCATCCTCACAGCTCACCATCATCGTCATCATCACCACCACCACCATCATCGTCATCGTCGTCGTCGTCGCCGTCATCATCATCATCATCATCATCAGCATCATCATCATCAACATCATCATCGTCATCGTGATCGTCAACACCACCATCACCATCACCATCACCATCACAATCACCATCATCATCATCATCATCATCATCATCATCATCATCATCATCATCATCATCATCATCATCATAATCATCATCATAATCATATCCTCAGCATCGTCCTAAGCAGCATCATCCATCGTCATCGTCATCTTCATGATCGCCATTATCCTCATAATCGTCATCATCCTTTCCTTTACACGACCACCTTTCGGGTGATAAGGAAGTTGGAGAGAAAAACAACTGATGGCAATATTGGTGGTTTTGATTGAGGACGATACCGGAGATGCGACCTCGGGTTGGCGACGGCGCGTGGTGATCTGGGAGTCGAGAAAAATCGCT